GATGGATCGGCTACAAAGTAACAACACTTGGTCAGCATCTCATAAGGAAGATTCATGCCATGTTTGGTTTCATTCCATTCAGTGGTTCTCTAAAAGATGACATTTGTATGTATTTCCCATAGGTCCTTTGTTAAACTAAGTCCCCTGCTGTCAGCCATCTTGGATGATAGACCGACTGCAAAGTAACAACACTTGGTCAGTACCTCATAAGGAACATTCATGCCATGTTTGGTTTCATTCCATTCAGTGGTTCTCTAAAAGAAGACATTTGTATGTATTTCCCATAGGTCCTTTGTTAAACTAAGTCCCCTGCTGTCGGCCATCTTGGATGATGGACCGACTGCAAAGTAACAACACTTGGTCAGCACCTCATAAGGAACATTCATGCCATGTTTGGTTTCATTCTATTCAGTGGTTCTTTAAAAGAAGACATTTGTATGTATTTCCCATAGGGTCCTATGTTAAACTAAGTCCCCTGCTGGCGGCCATCTTGGATGATGGATCAGCTACAAAGTAACAACACTTGGTCAGAACCTCATAAGGGACATTCATACCATGTTTGGTTTCATTCCATTCAGTGGTTCTCTAAAAGAAGACATTTGTATGTATTTCCCATAGGGTCCTATGTTAAACTAAGTCCCCTGCTGGCGGCCATCTTGGATGATGGACCGACTGCAAAGTAACAACACTTGGTCAGCATCTCATAAGGAACATTCATGCCATGTTTGGTTCCATTCCATTCAGTGGTTCTCTAAAAGAAGACATTTTTATGTATTTCCCATAGGGTCCTATGTTAAACTAAGTCCCTCGCTGGCGGCCATCTTGGATGATGGATCGGCTACAAAGTAACAACACTTGGTCAGCACCTCATAAGGAACATTCATGCCATGTTTGGTTTTATTCCATTTAGTGGTTCTCTAAAAGAAGTCATTTGTATGCATTTCCCATAGGGTCCTATGTTAAACTAAGTCCCCCGCTGGCAGCCATCTAGGATGATGGATCGGCTACAAAGTAACAACACTTGGTCAGCACCATATAAGGAACATTCATGCCATGTTTGGTTTCATTCCATTCATTGGTTCTCTAAAAGAAGTCATTTGTATGCATTTCCCATAGGGTCCTATCTTAAACTAAGTCCCCCGCTGGCGGCCATCTTGGATGATGGATCGGCTACAAAGTAACAACACTTGGTCAGCACCTCATAAGGAACATTCATGCCATGTTTGGTTTCATTCCATTCAGTGGTTCTCTAGAAGAAGTTCAAAATGTAAAAAGTTAACGCCGACGACGGACGACGCCGGACGACGGACGCCAAGTGATGAGAAAAGCTCACTTGGCCCTTTGGGCCAGGTGAGCTAAAAATTCTAAACGTGAAATTCGGTCTGAGTTTTACATTTCATCACCCCAAAGAGATTCCTTATTTAACTGTCCCATTCTGAATTTTAGGTATTAGGTACATATTTATCTGAAGTTATAATCATGTTAGACTAAATTTATGGCACTTTCTTTTTTTTTGAAAGTTATTTACTAACGACAGTAAGTCTCAGCCCAATAAATTTTATTGTGCACACGTACTTAATAAATACAAAGCAACCATATCCCTCCATCTGATTAGTACCCCAAACCCTTATTAGAATGTCATACATCAATCTCTCTCTCCCTTGCGCCATCTATCACGCCACTAATACCTAACAACCTATTTAGGAAGTATCATGTTAGTAAACCCCCCCAGGTTAGTGTTGATACTTCAAAAAATAAAAAGATTTTTAAATGAAGTACTAGACATGGAGGGACAAGTATAATTTTTTAAAGAAATTAAAATATTTCATAAACTTAAATGAATGGATGTTACAATTTTCAGTGTAGCCAACTGGTTAGTGGAATAACCTTCATTAAGATTGCCAGAGACCAAAACTTTGTGGAGCCAAAAAACAAAGTTTTTCACGATCATTAAAAAGCCAACCAAAAGAGATAATATTTCATTATCTCATAATTAATAAACTGGAAATTTAGAGGAATAAAAATAATATTTTAAATTTCTAAAAGCATTACTGCAGACCTTAATACTGATTCAGAATGAGAAAAAGGTTATAATTAATTAAATAATGAAATAATATCGAAGAAGGAGAAATTTTTTTCATCTGAAAAAAGGAAAAAATGGCATAAGAAAACAATTAAAAAATTTAAAAAAAGAACTAAAACAAACTAGAGGCTCTCAAGAGCCTGTGTCGCTCACCTGATTCTACTTTGGTTTTGGAAATCATAATGGATACCCTAATGATGATTGAGGCCAAATTTGGTTTAATATTGGCCCCGTAATTAAACAAAAAATCTTGGGGTATGACTATTTCCCATAGGGTCTTATGTTAAACTAAGTCCCCTGCTGGCAGCCATCTTGAAGGATGGTTCGGCTACAAAGTAACAACACTTAGTCAGCACCTCATTTAAGGAACATTCATGCCATGTTTGGTTTCATTCTATTCAGTGGTTCTCTAGAAGAAAACATTTGTATGTATTTCCCATAGGGTCCTATGTTAAACTTACTCCCCCTGCTGGCAGCCATCTTGGATGACAAATCAGCTACAAAGTAACAACACTTGGTGAGCACCTCTAAAGAAACATTCATTTCACATAGCTTAGGGTCCTTTGTTAAAATAAGTTCCCCTCTGGTAGCCATCTTGGATGATTGCATGGCTACAAAGTAACAACACTTGGTCAGCACCTCATAAGGAAAATTTATGCCATGTTTGGTTTCATTCCATTCAGTGGTTCTCTGAAAGAAGACATTTTATGTATTGTCCATAGGGTCCTATGTTAAACTAAGTCCCTCTCTGGTGGCCATCTCGGATGATGGATCGGCTTCAAAGTATCAACACTTGGTCAGCAGATCATAAGGAACATTTATCCTATGTTTGGTTTCATTCCATTCAGTGGTTCTTTAAAAGAAGACATTTGCATGTTTCCCATAGGGTCCTATGTTAAACTAAGTCCCTCTCTGGCGGCCATCTTGGATGACTAATCGGCTTCAAAGTAACAACACTTGGTCAACACCTCATAAGGAACATTCATGCCATGGTTTGGTTTAATTCCATTTAGTGGTTCTCTAAAAGAAGACATTTGTATATATTGTCCATTATGGTCCAATGTTAAACGAAGTCCCCCACGGGCGGCCATCTTGGATGATTGATCACCTACAAAGTAACAACACTTAGTCAGCACCTCATAAGGAACATTCATGCCATGTTTAGTTTCATTCCATTCAGTGGTTCTCTAAAAGAAGACATTTGTATGTATTGTCCATAGGGTACTATGTTAAACTAAGTCCCAAGCTGCTGGCCATCTTGGATGATGGATCGACTTCAAGGTAACAACACTTGGTCAGCACCTCATAAGGAAAGTTCATCCCATGTTTAGTTTCATTCCATTCAGTGGTTCTCTAAAAAAAGACATTTGCATGTATTGTCCATAGGGTCCTATGTTAAACTAAGTCCCACGCTGGCGGCCATAAGGAACAATCATGCCATGTTTGGTTTCATTCCATTCACTAGTTCTTTAGAAGAAGTTCAAAATTTAAAAAGTTAACGACGACGACAGACAATGACAACGGACGCCAAGTGATGAGAAAATCTCACTTGGCCCTTTGGGCCAGGTCAGCTAAAAATGTTGACATTGCTATGGGAACCCTGCCCCTTTTAAGACAGACTTCATACAGGCACTTATCAAGGATAAAAAGAATCAAGCATTATCCCTTAATTTCACATTCCACATTATGAAGGCGATCTCTTTTAATATAGATAACTCAAAAGTTGATCACACCTAACCCACTGAACCAGAAGAAGGATACAACAGATACGGATACTGTGCTTCAAAACTTGCCGTCGCCCAGAAACTATCAGCAAGGACCAGCTGAGAGCTAATAATTTGACAAAAGAGACTTCAATTTCCTGATTGTGAACTTTTCTTATGTAGCAGCAATCCAATTATACCTGAAAATGAATTTCATGTCTCCTTGCTGATTATTCCACTCTTTGCATCTCATGCATGTAGGTAATTTCCTTAAAAAAAACAGTTGCTGCTTATGCTTAAAAAAGAAACTTCTAAAACAATGGTTGTTAATGATCAAGTTGATTGAAAATCACTCTTTACATGATTTATTGATTACAAAAATTCTAGATGTGAAAAAAATAATCATATACAGTCAAACCTGCCTTAAGGTCACCCACCACCTCGTTTAAGAGGTCAACTATCTCTAACGGTCTCTTGGTGACCCTCTCAAGCATTTTCTCTATATATTTAACTCATTTCAGAGATCACCTGTCCGATGCAGTCACCTTATTTTATGCACGAAATCATCATTTTACTGTTTTTAATTACAATTATAATCATGATGAAAAATATATGTGTTCAGTATCAAAATCAAAATGAGAATCGACCCGTTTCACTGTTTGCAACAGATCTTGCAATAGGAAGTAAATTGGTGAATCCTTGTATTCCACTCCCTTCAATTAATACCATTGAAAAGCATTTCACAGACTTGTTTATCCAATTATATCAGCACCTTTAAATCAATAAATGTCTTCTTCAAATTGACAGTGCAAGAGTCAAACTTTTAACATTTGTCTGCTCACAGGAAGGAACAAATGAACGATAAATCTTCCAACTAAAACACTAAACCAAGTTGCATTCCCAGCCACAGAAACTTTTTTTAAAGGTCACTTTTCTCGAGCCGTCCCTTTTGATACTTCCCGTGAGTGACATGCTTAAAACAGGTTTGACTGTACAAGATCCTTAATACTTATATCTCTATATTCAAATTTTATAAAAAGTCAAATCCCACAAATTTTCAGCAGTATCATATTTTTTTCTCCATCTTTTTTTTTCTTACATTTTTCTTAAATATACTGCCGTCCCAACAAAAGATGTGTAATATAAAGGCTAGATTCATGGGAAATTCTAAAATTTCATATTTTATCAAAATTTTTACCTTAATTGCAATGGCTGTTTAAAATATACTGAATAAATAAATTATAATTAGGGTTTAAAAGATAAAGTTGAAAGTCAATTCTTCCCATGATTCCTAAACTAAAATTCAGCATGTAGTTAAACTGCAATTAGTCATCTGCAGACTTCATTTCTGGGAACATGTATATTTAGAAAATAAAGGAAATGGATCATCGGCCCTTAAAAACATCCTTTTTTTTTAAATGTCTAATTTAACCAATCTCATTACCAGTATCTTTAAGTCAAATTTAGAGAATCTCAAACCTCTACATCACAAAACTCCCAGCAGAACTGTCTTCTCGGAGTACAACATTAGATCTTCTATCTCAAAAGTTTCATCTACGTCTGTCCCCTCCATTATAGTTCCGCTCTATACCAAAAACATCATCTACAATATAAAAATAATTCAATTATTGAAAACTTTAGATTTGTAAACTACTGATATTCTATAATTGTAATAGGTGCCATATCCAACTTAGAATATTAGCATCCGATTATAAATATCACTAGAACACACCCGCGAAATCGAGGGTATTTAGAGCTTGGTTGAAAGTATGTAAACTGTTATAGGATGAATTTTTGTAAAAGATTTTATGTCTGGCGTATTTCAGAAAAGATATCAAACTGAGTCATAGACACTTGGAGACAGGACAATTATTTTAAGTCCTCTTCCTTTTTTTCAAAGTCCGTTATTTTTTTGCTCTCTGTAGTCTCTATATATTATAGAATTATAATCATAGTATACATGCAGAATAACGCGAAAATAATTATCCTGCCCCCGAGTAATTATGAAAATTATGTTTAAAGAGGGGAGTAAGGGGAGGGGGGGGGGGGGTATCTGCACTAAAGAACGCGAAATAAAATTGCCATTTATCGATGAGCGAACAATTAAAAATTTCTTGCACGTTGATCTTTTTATCGATTTCAAGAAACACGGTGAATAACGAACCTTTTTCATGGCTGCACGTGAAATAAAAAGTGGCAAAACATGAAAATAACCCTTTACCCCCGCTTTTAAAGTTTAAAATCGGAAGTCTTGGGTATGACTTAAAAGTCAATCTGATGACGGAAACAATATACGGATGCCTTTTTCTTCGTTTTTCTCCCAAAATAACCCAAACTGAATAATCATCAGAATGGATGACAAATGCGACTATGCATGGTACCTATAGGACACAGAGGCATGATGATTAATTTATTGGGGAAGGAAGAGAAGCGACACACAAAATGAGGTCTTCTCGTTTAAAAGTATAGATATAAAGTAAACAATATGTTTAAGCCTATCCATGTTAATAATGACTACACATTTTATAAAAACTTAATTGATCAATTTAAACAGAGTTAAAAGTATGTCAAGTTTAAAATGATCTCAACACTTACAGATATTTAAACTGTGCTATGATATGAAGAGCCTTCGATATACCAAAGTCAATAAAGGAAATAACACAGGTATTTTTTTTATTTCTAAGGTACGTTATGCTGTTTTCTGCAGTTGGGCCAAGTTTTGCTAAAAAATTTGAGAAACTCATATGCAATGCTCAGAACCAAAACTCGTAAAAAGTGTTTTGAATTTGAGCTGTGATTCACTTATTGTTCTAGAATTATGTCCCTTTATAACCTGGAAAATTGCACACTAATAGTGACATCAAATGCTCTCAAAAAGTATATTTGCTTAATCATACAACACGAAATATGTGAAAGTTTTGATTGATAAATACTCTTCATTAGCCACAGACAAGAATAAGTCAGTTTTAGACAAGCGTAACAAGAATAAATATGAAAATCAGAAGAAGTGGTATATTGCCAATGAGACCATTCTCCACTAGAGACCAAAAGACGTAGAAGTTAACAATAATAGCTATTGGTCACCAAATAGCCTTCAACATTATGACAAATGTAAAACAAAAAAATTCAGATGAGAAAACTTACAGCCTGATTTATATGTACAAATTTAACAATAGATGATAAAACAAATATGATATACAGCAAAAAAAAACACCCCTATATTACAGGCTCCTGAATTGGGACAAGCACATTAAAATGTAGTGGGGTTAAACATGTTTGCTGGCATCCAATCCTCCCACTTACTTAATTGGGACAGTGGTTTAACAGCATAACATTATTATATTAAGAACAAGCTATAAGTGGTTTAACAGCATAACAAGAACAAACTATAACTAGAGGCTCTTTGTCGCTCACCTTGGGTCTATATGTATATTCAACAAAGGATACTCTCCAACATTGTAGATGAGAATAGAATTAATGACAAAAATCTTGGGTTTTTTTTTTATCTTATATTGCTGATCATTGAAGTCTGTTTAATTTCTCTCTATCTAATTTAGCTTTTGCTCCAAACAAATAAGAGGGTAAAAAATAATTTCCAAATTTAAGGGCAACAACTCCTGTAAAGATTTATAAACTACTAATTATATTAGCAAAATTTGACTTGTTAGTAGGTCTTGTCTTGCTAATCATTTTTGATTATTTAAGTTTCTATCTATCTTTTATAATTTTTATCATATAATGCAAAATGGTAAAATTCGTCATTAAAGGGCAATCACTCCAATAAGGAGTATTTTGACAACTTCCGCCATTCGTCTTAATTGTAGATCTTGTCTTGCTGATCATTTTTTGTTTATATAAGTTTCTTTTTATCTATTATAAGTTATAAGATATAAAACAAAAATGCAAAAAAAATTGTACAAATCGTCATGAAAGGGCGTTAACTCTAATCAGAAGTCAAATGACTACCCTTCTGATCATTTTTGCAGTTTAAAGTTTCTCTCTGTCTATATAGTTTTCAATATAATAGGCAAATATGAAAAAAATCAAAACAAGAGGCTCTCAAGAGCCTGAATCGCTCATCTGTAATTTTTTGCTTAAATCTTTCATCAATGATTATTTTTGCCTTTCAATATATATTAATGAATGGCTTAAAACTTCCATTGAAATGTTCTAAGTATCTGTCATATTTTCTTCAAAATCAAAGAAATACATTTTACACAGATGTTTCATTTTAGCCACAGTGGCAATGTTTCTTGATGTACAAGAAAATAAAATACAAAATTTATACTAGATACTCTGAAACTCATTCATCCCATGTTTGCTTTCAAAGGAGATTTCTTAAAGTAAGCAAACATTATCACTGAACTAGTATATATATTTGTTTAGGTGCCAGCTGAAGCACGCCTCCAGGTGCGGGAGTTTCTCGCTGCATTGAAGACCTATTGGTGGCCTTCAGCTGTTGTCTGCTCTATGGTCGGGTTGTTGTCTCTTTGACACATTCCCCATTTCCATTCTCAATTTTAAACTAAATAAATAAATTGTGAAAAATTGATTTTAAAGGGCAATTACTCCTTAAGGGGACAATTGACAATTTTGGTCATATGAACTTATTTATAGATCTTACTTTGCTGAATATTTTTGCTGTTTACAGTTTATCTTTATCATTAATAATATTCAAGAAAATAACCAAAATCTGCAAAATTTCCTTAAAATTACCAATTAAATGGCAGCAATCCAACAATGGGTTGTTAGATTCATCTGAAAATTTCAGGGCTGACAGAGCAAGGCCTAATAAACATTTTTACCTCCATCAGATTAGCTCTAAATGCTTTGGTTTTTGAGATATAAGCCAAAAATTGCATGTTACCCCTACGTTCTATTTTTAGCCATGGCGGCCATGTTTTTTTATGAAACAGAAAATAGAACACAAACTTTCTTCTAGACACCCTTAGTATCATTCAGCTTATAATAAGTTTGGTTGGAATTGGTTCAGTAGTTTCAAAGAAGAAGATTTTTTAAAGTAAGAAAACATGATAAACAAATTGTGTAAAATTGTCCTTAAAGGGCAATAACTCCTTAAGGGGTCAATTGACAATTTTGATCATAAAAAACTTATTTGTAGATCTTATCTTGCTGAACATTTTTGCTGTTCACAGGGTATCTTTATCATTAATAATATTCAAGATAATAACCAAAAACTAAAATTTCCTTAAAATTACCCATTTAGTGGCAGCAACCCAACAATGGGTTATCAGATTCAACTGAAAATTTCAGGGTTGATAGAACTTCACCTAATGAACACTTAAACCTATGTAAGATTTGATCTAAATGCTTTGGTTTTTGAGATATAAGCCAAAAGCTGCATTTTACCCCTATGTTCTATTTTTAGCCATGGCGGCCATGTTATTTGACGAAACAGTAAATAAATCACAACCTTTATTCTAGATACCTAAGCATCATTCAGCTTAATTTTGGTTGGAATTGGTTCAGTATTTTTAGAGAAGATGTTTGAAATAGTTTACACCAGAAGGACGACGACAGACGCCAAGTAATGACAAAAGCTCACCGTTCCGAGCTAAAAACTGCATAATTTCCTTAAAATTACCAATTCAGGGGCAGCAACCCAACAACAGGTTGTCGAATTTGTCTGAAAATTACAGGGCAAATAGATATTGACCTATTGAACTATTTTACCCTGTCAGATTTGCTCTTATAATACTTTGGTTCAGTGATATAAGCCAAAATCTTCATTTTACCCAGACTTTCTAGTTTTAGCATGGCGGCCATCTTGGTTGGCGGGCTGGGTCGTTGGACACATTTTTTAAACTAGATACCCCATAATGATGATTGTGGCCAAGTTTGGGTTACTTTGGCCCAGTAGTTTCAGAGGAGAAGATTTTTGTAAAATTAACGACGGACGACAGACAACCAACGCATGTTGAAAGGGCTGAACTCATCAGATGGATACAAAGCATGAAAACACTAAAGACACAAACTACAGATCTGAGATTTATCCTCATTACTGAAAGCTAGTTCATAGCCAATAACTTAATTAATAAACTGCATGTTGACACAGATATGTCACCCTTTTTGTAATTTTGATAGTTAAATGCAAATGTTAAAATTAAAATGGTTACCGTTAAAAGGCTTGTATAGTCTGCGGTTTTATTCTCCAAAATTGAACCTGCCGGACAGGGGTGCGGACTATAGAGTACAATAAGCAAGAAATAAAAAAAAATTGATTTCGCGAGGTGGCTTATGTTCCGCCATGTTTGTTTTTGATATTGTAGAGGGCACTCTTATCATTTTTAAAACTTATAATTTTACCTTATCTAAATTTAATAAGTTATTTTTATTCAATATCAAATTAATACTGATAAATTTAAAAATTAAATGCTTCATTACGAATTTCTCGTTTCTAAATTTCACTGCATTGCTTAATATAAACTGGAATCTGCTTGAATGAAAGGGAACGAAAAGAGTAAAAAAAGTCAACCGTAAACCAGCTTACAATGTGTAAACTACAAAACGTAATTGGTTATTATAACCCGTTTACTTATAATAAATCTTCAGAAAATAATTCTTAAAAATTCATTTTTGCAA